TTATTTGAATGTTGACTCATATCGGGAATCTCTTTCTATCAATGATATTAGTTCGAGGAATAATTGAAGAAATTAGCAACTGAGGAATAACATTAAGTCTATGAATGTAATCTATAGAAGATCAAGATATAGGAGATCAAGTGGGATGTGGAGATCAAAAATGCATTTCTGTTATCGATCTTCAGTGGATCGATCACTCACCCAACGTCCAAATCATGAACTGATAACAACAAGTGATTCGGAGCCAGAGGTACCACACCAAGTTCGCACGGAGGACGGTACGATGAGACGTGAATGTTGCACACTGTTATACGTCCGGCTATCTGAATAACTGAGTTCCGTGAGTCTGATATCATGATCTTCTTATCCTGATCATTAATATCCTCTTCAAGTAACACCATCATTAAGATAAATGCTTGGCATTCCAGCATTCTTCATGTCATTGTAGTTTTACTTTGCAATTGATGTTTCATTTGTGCTGTTTGAATTCTCAACTGTATTTAAATAGTGTGCAATATCAATAAAATTTGTATGCCATTCCACTTTCGAGCAAAAGTTTCCTCCGCAAGCGGAACTCGAAACCGAGACGCACTAATATTGTTATGCCGGGCCTGAAACAGACAATGATCTGGCCTGCTGTCATTACCAAGCCTGACAATGTTTCATCCATCGTCTATTGATGTGACACTCAATCTCGAGACAACTTCACCTCTTTCACTTCTTGCGTGATCGGTGGAATTTTCGCCTTAACAATCTCTCTGTCGAGAATTTGTCGCATCAGCTGTGTGGCATACATGAAGGTAGGCATATTCACACGTAACAAAACGCCTGGATTTCCAATTCTGCCTCCAAGCAGTGCTGGATTGAAGTCCATCGAAGGCACGGCTAGTGCTGACGTGGGTCTATTGGCTCCAAAAGCTCCTGTTCCAACCGAATTAACCCCTGTGTTTGCAGCAAAAGAGCTTCCACCTGCTGTACCACCAATCAAAGGTCTGCAATCGAGAATCATTTTAAGAGTATCCAAACTCATTTCTAAGCAAGGAACAGCTCCAACGTTTCAGTCTCTATATTCTTCATGTAAACAGCAATTTTTCGTTGCTAATCAGTTGAATACCACTGACCACGCCTGATGAATTTTCATATGAATGAACCAAATCCAAAACAATGCTATCGATGTTCATTGATAGCCAGGAAACATTTTCTTGTCATAATGAGCTACCCCATGAATAATTGGAGAAACAAATCGATGAATAATCAAATGAAATGATCAATTGATCCAATTTAAAATCAACCCCTAAGCTATCAATTAATCTTCTCTACAACAGCCATCTGACAATTCATTAAGTGAATAGAGCGATAAAATGTTCATAAATAATCAGTCAGAAGATGTGATAAGCTGACCCTGCTCCACTTGCAAAATCATTGGTATAATAACCAGCAACTCGAGGGTGTTTCCTTGATGCATTCACGTATCGTTTCGGTAAAACAACATGAGTTCTGGCTGCTTTCTCCATTCGATTTCGATTTTTGTTTGGCGATAACGGTAACGACAATGCTCTTGTCGTTGCTCCATGTGTAGAAGATGATACTGTTGATGCTGTTATTGCACAGCACACTGATGACAATAGCAACCAAATCTGAGAGATATCAATGATATATTTGGAGCATTACTTTCACTTAAATTCTACAAAAATTTCCAAAAAATGGACTTATTGTCATTGTCAGATCAAATAAGAATATGCATAAATGTTCAGTTCATGAGAACAAGAAACTTTTAAACACTCATTCCGTGCATGTCACTTTTAATTTATTCACATTGATCAAAATATGGAACTTTTCTTAAACGAAAAGAAAGTTCTTTCAAAAGGTCACATCAAAATGTTTCCATTTCATTCTTGCAGAAATTTATAACTGTGACCCGTTTTCTGAGGAAGCATGCAAGAGAAAACTCCGTTGGGAATCTTCGGAAGATTTCTTCAAATGTTTGGAGCAATGTATCATTCTGGTTAATGTGATGTTATTATATGATCTCTTATAAATCTCGTGCGATTTCTGTTCAATGTCGCATTAAAACCGTTTGTGACAGGAACGAATCATGTTCCTTAGACAGGTTGATGGTTGGTTAGTTGATTGGTTTACAGCACCAGTTTCCGAAACTGGTTCCTTCTCTAATGCAATTATTTGTTTTTTGTGTGAGGCATGGTGTGAGAAAGGCTGGATATTGGATGATGAAGATATTCATAGAGATCCACGTAAAAAGAGCAATGAAAGAAAGAACGTAGTGGTCAGGCAAAGGGGCGATTTCAATGTCAATTCATTCATTTATTTATGTTTGGTCAACATATTACAACTGGATGCGTCGCTCGCTAAACGGAATCAAAAGAAAAATAGATCATTACTTGAAGCAAACCGCATTAATTCTATCCCGGTAAATTTCGAGGGCACGAGGCAGTAGAACTCATTTGACCAACAATATCAATATTCATTGGAGAGCATTTCAAGTAAAGCATGCAACGTATTCAGATGTCATATTCCGAATATTTCGGTAATATTCCATAACTATTATCATACAGTTGTGCATGCAGAATATAAGATTTACCTAACCACAACATCAAAAGGATTCTAAGAATGAATAAAATGGATTCAACTGATCTGAATAATCGTTTTTTAGCATGTAGTATATATCCTTTGTAAAGGTAACACATGACGTGAACGAGACCATTAAGCACATCATACATAATGAAAGGATTTCATAAAAACGCTCACGAAACTTACACTCAGACGCATTGCAGCAATTGTGCTTGCGCCTTACCAGCCTTCCAAATGATCCACGCTGAATTCTAACACATTTATTAATAAAATCACGCATTTGATAGAAAATATTTCAAGTCATGCTCACGCAAAAAGCGTTTAACGCGTGTACATATGCGTATTACTTGAACGATCTCATTGCAATACTCAAGCACCATCCATAAAAATCGCAGCTAAATTTCTTTGAACATGTGCTTGTTCGATCAAAACCAACTCGAAGCTCAATTACCATCTTAGCATCAAAATTATTGGAAAACTGGTGAAACATCGAATGTCTAACGAGAAGAACCACAACCATATCAAGTAACTGATTTCGAATGCTTGCACTGCCCAACATACGGCAGCACAAGACATACAATCATGAAAGCAATATGAAAAGAAGTGATAAGGAATCGTAGGTCTCCAATATTGGAAGCAGTAATAAGAAGATAATCTTATGATATGTCTGTATAAGTCAGATTTGCTTAGAGATTAGGAAAATGTATCAACCCAGTGAGTGACTGACTGGTGGACACTGGAGATATCGTTTTTGCAGGATAACAACTGCCTATAATAAATGCACGTATGTTTGTATAAATCTGGATGAATGGAATGCCGTGAAATACGAGATTTTCGCAGCAAAATCAAGTTGAACAAAAATTGAAAAAAAAAGATGAATTGAATGGAAGGGATCGAATCAAATCAACACAAATAAATGAAAATTCAGATGAAACTAATGAAGCATGGTTGTAGCGCAAATGAATGAATGAGGCTTGAACAGCAGTGACGCATCACGACAACATTAACACCACACAATCAGATGAAACGATCAAGCAAAGATTCAAGAGGATTGCAAAATCGTAAATGAATTTAAGTGGTAGAAGGTGTGTTCATTATCAATTTTATTACCAGTGCTACTGCTTTTTGTGTGATAATCTACTAACAAATAAATCTTCATGCTCTCATGCTTACGGAACTATCTCGATACATCCACGTTGATCTGCATTCTCTCCGTTCATCACTTCATTGCTATGCTCGTCACAGACAGATCAGATCACCACATCAAATGCCAAAAATAGTCGTTTTTTGTTGTTGTTCTGATAGATCGAGTGTGTCTTTCATGTATCAGCAACATCATATCCACGCATTCGAAGACGATAAAACCGGATGGCTGATGATTAACGATTAAAGACATGAAACGTTCTCGTTGTCTCATTTCATTTATTTATTTTGTTGTTTATTCGGGTAGAAGAACGTTGGACAGCACACTTGCTCAGATAGAGATAGATTGTTCATATTCGTATCATAGATGATGATGAGCATCATAAACAGAGGAAAGGTGAACAATTCAGCAGGATTTATCCAACGTTTGAGTGTGTTAGGCTGTAAATAAATGTATTTGTAGATACGAGATCCGAGATAGTTGTGAATTCAAATTAATTGAATACGAGTATTTCAGAGAGCATTTCAGTGAAAAACAGATGCCCCGAAGCATAAAAAATTTTTACTATCTTTGGTATTATCTTTTGGTATGTTCAAATCGAAATTTTGCACAGCCGCACAAGAGCGAAGCACAGCGCTTTACTCGAAGGCGGAATGTAAAGTTAGAGTATGAAATGCGGACTTATTCATCTTCTTGCTATTTTATGTTCTGCAGAAGTGTACATTTTATTAGCCTTTTTTTAAAAGATTATTAACTGTTTAATACACTCAAGCGGTAGCGCATATTGTGAAGATTCTGAAGATAATCATAATTCATACGACATTTTAGGATAATAGCATCAGTGATTGAAACGATTTCCCAATTGTACGGTCTATTTGCATGCAGTGTTCATCAAAATCTTCTCCATCCAAAAAAAAAAAAACACAATTGCCATTTCAACATAATCAGATAGATGAAAGTAGATCACTTGCGAGCAATTTGCTTGACAAAACCTCAACAGATACACTTCATAATCCAATGATTAATCCAGAACGCACTTCGGATCTACCCTTCTTGGTTCCGAAAAAAGCTTTTTATGCGCCTTTCGATGACTCAGCTTTACAAAGCGATTCTTTCAAGCAATTGTGTTTCACACAACGTCATAAATTTCATAAACTTGTTACATCTTCGAAGAATTTCCGGGCTCTATGCCGTTTCTCATAAACAGTCTAAACTGGTTGTGAGCCATGCAAGCGGTGTGCAAGGAACTCGAAATTGGTCTTATTCATCATCACATTTCAATAAGTCATCCATATAGCTTGTTGAAGCAACATGTGCTTAGGTAGTTTATTCACGCTCGTTTTTTCAGTTGTTGTAATTGTTATTATTGCTGTCATTAATAGCACCATCGACACTGTTACTGCTATTTTTGTATATTAATTATATCACTACTGTTATTACATAGTTATCTTAATTATTATTGGTATTTAAGATTAGTACGATTGCTGATGGATTAATGCAGTCAGTTCTTTCGATTACAGTAACAAATCCGCCTTCAACCAATTAGCATATATTTTTTCGTCGATCTCCTCGTCGATTGTCCATGTTCGTTTTCTTATGAATTCTTCAGTTTGAGATTATTCGTTTCGAACATTTTCACGACCATTCCAATCCGAATAGCAATAAGAAATAATCAATCATGTTGTTTGAAATTGATGGACCACTAATGCAAAACCTGTTCAAATGATTCATGATTCGTTGATAAATGCAATTTAAAATTAACATCGTATGAACGCAATGTTTCAATTATGTTTCAGCTGAACATCACCACAAAAACTAGATAGATAGTACGTAGATATGTCTGTAGGTAGATCCTATTCGCGTAAGTGCATTTCGCACACTCCGGCGCACTACATAAATTTGCTCGAAGCAATGATTAAGTTATGATTCGTATCTTGCAGAAGTGAACGTGTGATCGCTTTGAGCTTTCATCAGGATGCGATAAAATAACGTCGATATCAGTCAGTATCATTGATATTTAATCTCGTCATCGTTATCAGCATTATCATTGTCATTAACGAAATCCACACAAAACTGAACATGACGCTAAACAAGCTCGCATTAATCAGTTCCATCAAAAATGAAAATTCAACAACCAAACTGAATTCAGTAAGCAGCTAAATCAGTGATTGTTGCCGGAATGCGTA